TCAGCCAAGCCCCCTCATTGCAGCCTGTCCCCTCTCCCAGGATGTAAGGATGATCTTCCTTTACTGCTGTGCTCCTAGCCTACTTGGCCTGCAAACCGCCTCTCCATTCTGGATGGAGGCCCCCCCGAGGGTCTGATTGGATTCTCTAGGCCACTGCATTAAGGGACACCCAGTAGAGGTGGCTAAGAAGTCAGCAGACTCTTTATTGCTGTGAGGGACAGGGCTCAGGAGCTCTTGGTGTGTCGTGTACGCTTCCTCTTCACCATCACAGGCTTCTGGCTGCGCAGGATGGCGCTGGCCCTGCGGATGGCAGCCTAGGGGGAGATAGGGGGTGGGTTCAGTGCACCACTCACCCTGCCACCCCTGCCCTGGCCTCCCCTAACCCCGACCCTGAACTGAAATCTTGGCTGCAGCCCAGTGACCACTCACCATGCGCAAGTCGGGCCGGTACTTGTTCTTTCGGATCATGTGCCTGATGCTGCTCAGGGTGGCCCGAGCATTCTTGTTGATGGTGGTCCGCACATAGGAGGTGGCAGGCTTCCGCTGGCCTAAAGGGGAGGGTAGGGGCATGTGGGTCGGTTCACTACCAGGCCCTTTGTGCACCTCTCAGCTGGAGGATACAGCCTCACTCCAGGAACCTGAGTTCTTTGAGCTAGCAAATTAGGCCTGGCAGGGCACTTCCCCAACCAGCTTTCAGCCTTCTGTGCTGGGTACCTACATACACTTCTTCCTCATTGTCTTTGTTTTTTGAGACAAAAGTCTTACTTTGTCACGCTCAGAAGAGTACTGTGGCATCACAGCTCACAGCAACCTCCAACTCTTGGGCTCAAGCGATTCTCTTGCCTATCTCCCCAGTAGCTGTGACTATAGGTGCCCACCACAACACTCAGCTATTTTTAGAGATGGTCTCACTCTTGCTTAGGCTATCCACCAGCCTTGGCCTCCCAGAGTGCTAGGATTACAGGAGTGAATCACTGCACCTGGCCTCAGTTTATCTCTTTTTTTTTTGCAGTTTTTGGCCAGGGCTGGGTTTGAACCCACCACCCTCCAGTATATTTCTTTCTTTTTTTAAAAAAAGAAATCTGGTTTCAGTATGTTGCCCAGGCTGGTCTGGTCTCAAGCAATCCTTCCACCTCAGCCCCTCAAAGTGCCGGGATTACAGCCCTGAGATAACCACAGTGCCTTGCTCTACCACAGCAGTTCTCGCAACCCACAGGAACTGTATTAAAGGGCATTGGGAAGGTTGAGAACCACTGCTCTACTAGAACGTCCAGAGAAACGAAACACTAGATAAGGCATCCTCAAACTGCGGCCCGCCTAGGACATTTATCCAGCCCTCTGGGTGTTTTTGCTGCCACTGCCTGTCCTGCTTAGCAGCCAACTCATCCTGAGGCCCGCAGTCTGGCCCTCCAACGGTCTGACAGACAGTGAACTGCCCCCCCCCACCCCCGTTTAAAAAGGTTGAGGACCCCTGCACTAGATGAAGGGTACACCATCACAGATTGTGCTCAAGAACCACTGAGCCTATGCACAAGGCTAAAAGAATAAACTATATTAACCCCTAGCTCATTACAATACTAAAATCCCCACCCTGGGGAAGGATTTTGTCCACCATTTTTTGTTCTCAAGGTGTATGAACTCACTGCACTATGTGCCCTGGACTCCACCCCAAACATGCATGAGGTTCACTGTTTATGCACTATTCATTTTTACCTCCATAAAAACCCCTTAATCCTGCTAATTGGGAAGATGGATTTGAGATAGCCTGTGCCTCCCCCTCCCAGTTGACACATCCTCTGAAATAAATACTTTCTCCCTTAACAATCTTCATTGTGTCAGTAATTAGCTTTCTATGAAACAATCATCCCCTCCCCCTCTTTGTGGGTTCCTTAACACACAGAGGAGAGCTGCTGTTCTGAATGTAAGGTTTCCTAGCAGGTGAGGTGAGTGCTTGGCCACTCCCCCACACTAACCAAGTAAGCATGCCTTAGCCTATAGTTCTGCCTTCCTCTCTCCCCCAAGGCCCAAACCATCCCCCTGGAACAATTATGAACAGGGCCAGAACCAGAACAGGTCTATGACTTACAACGATCAGATCTCACCAAAGCCCTGCCCTCCTGGTGATAGGAGACCCAGGCCATCACCACAGCAGTGGCCAAATGCTCCTTGACCCCACAGGAGGCGCCTCCTCCCTCATTGCAATTCCAAGTTTTTTTTTGAAACAAGAACCTCAAGCTGTCACCCTGGGTAGAGTGCCGTGGCATCACAGCTCACAGTAACCTCCAACTCCTGGGCTTAAGCCAGTCTCCTGCCTCAGCCTCCCAAGTAGCTGGGACCACAGGCGCCGACCACAACGCCTGGCTTTTTGGTTGCAGCCGTCGTTGTTTGGCTGGCCCGTGCTGGATTCGAACCCTCCACCTTAGGTGTATGTGGCTGGCGCCTTAGGCACTTGAGCCACAGGTGCCGAGCCCAATTACAACTTCTTAACCTCCCAAGCAGAACAGAGGTAAACCTGTCGTCTGCAACACACAGCCGCGAGGGCCCTGGTCCCTCACCTAGTCAGCCTCAATTTTCTCACCTGGGAGGTGAAACCACCCCCACCTGAGTAGTTTTGATGAGCTCATCTGAGCACATAATTGAGCGACCATGGAATTTAATGCTCCCAGTTGCCCGGGGGAAGTCCTGGTTCTTACTCGTTCTTTACCGGTTAAAAATGTGCCTGACTCACGGCGAACTGGCTGGAGGAAAGCCAGCGTCCCCGCCGCCCCGGCAGTCACTCTTCCTGCCTGACAAGAAGCGGCCACAGCCCCCCCTAGCGGGACAGCACTCACCAGATCTCCGCTTCATGACCACCACGACCCCTTTGCCGTCAGCGGCCGGCTCAACGCCCACAGTCTTGCGGTGAATCAGCCCGTTGTAGCGGAAGGAGTTGCGAGCCTTCAGATTATTGGGCTCCTGGGAAAGACAAGTGGCAGGGGATCGTGAGGAGGGGCCCCCGAGACATGCTTAGACCCGCGCCTAGAGTCCCACCACTCACGGTGCTGTACGTCTGCTTATTCCGCTTGATCAGGAAGCTGGAGCAGTTCCGCACGACCATCCACTGCAGGTGCGCAGACATGGCGGCGGCTGCGAGAAGCGGGCGGGGAAGGCCGTCAGAGGAACAGAGAGCTGACAAAGAGCGCGACTGGGGACCCGGGGTAAGCTAGGGAGACTGCTATCGAGCTGCGGCAGGCCAGGCCAAGACCTACAAAGGTGGTCCGACCACAGGCTACCAAGACTAGCTACAGGGAATGAGCGGAGGGCGAGCGCGAGGATCCACAACTTCCCGAGGCGGGGTAGGGGGGCCGCCAAGGACGCTCGAGATTCAAGGGAGAAGGCAAGCAGGGGGCACGGAGAGGGGTCGACCGACGCAAGAAAGCGGCCACGCGAGCCGACTGCCGGTGCACGCTTACCTTCCCTCACGGCAGCGGCCGGAGACGGAAAGAGAATGGCAAGGGCGGGGCGATGCCTTTAATACCATACACGCATTTCCGTTTCCTCTCCAGGTACGCGCCTGGAGTCGCGTTTCCCCGCCTCTGATGTGGCTCGGTGGTGTTCGGCTATTTCCGCTAAGTCGTCGCGTCGCTCTTCGGCTAGAGGACCTAAGGCGTGCTCGGCGCCGGAGAACAACACCGCTTTCTACTGGATTTCTGAGTAGCCGGAAGTCCTGCAAGTCTAGAGATCCTGGGGCCCATTCCTCAACGGCCTCTCTCCGCTATTGGTCACCCAGTGTTTGGCACATAGTGGGCACTCAATAAACATTTCCTTTACGAATGAACACGTGAATGCGTGAACTATTTAAGTCCTGGCGTCTTGGAGGGCATCAGACTTTCCTCATTAGCCATTGGCTGCTATACCCTATGAGAGCACCGAGGCCCATTTGGGCATCTGCGGAACTCTCTGGAAACCCTCTTCGGAGGGGCTGCTCCGCTCCGCTCCGCTATTCGCTCGTGACCAGTTCGGATCTGTTCGGAAATACTCGGTCTCCATCCAGCCAAGTTTGGAACCCTTGGCTTAATCCCGGCAGCTCCCTTGAAATAGGCTCTCCCCAGGGTTTTGTTGGAACTCTCAAACTGTTAACAGTCTGGGGGGAACCTAAACGGAACCCTCTTGCAAACTGCCAGAAGAGCGTTGATTCCCTCCAAGGGCGAGTTGTTTGGAGGAAAAGAGATTTTCGTGTGACAGTTCTTGGTTGCCAGCCCATTTCCTGTGCCTAGGTCACGGCTCCCTGCGCGGCTCCTGCGCTGCCTGATGCTCAGGTGTGAGCTGTCACATCCATGAAACTGTCTGGAAGTTTATTTTCTGTTGCCAGGGTCATCCTCAAGGAGTAGGACCCTGGCCTGGTATTTCTCTGTGTCTGGCGCCCGGGAGGCCGCCTAGACTCTCACTGAAGGCCAGGAGTGACACCGTGGCTGGGCATTACACTGGGGAGCTCCAGTGCCCCTGGGCTTCCCTGGTCATGGGTCATGACAATTGGACCTCCACTTCCTCTATTAGAGGACTCTGGATCTGACAGTGGTGTCAGAGAGCTCTGGTGAGGCTGATCCGTCTTTGCGCCCTTGGATTCATTCGCTCTAAGACTAGGCACACAGAAGGAAATTCTCAGCTCTTGCAGAACCTTGTTTCTCCCGTTAGAGCATCCCAATTCTCTGTGTCCCAGAGCTCCTTGGGGTCCAGGGGCTTTGTTTCTATACAGGAAGCCTCGGGAAGCCGGCACTGAGTAAAAACAATGCCTGCCCTCCCACAGTGTCCTACACTGCCACCATTAAAGTACCCTGAGTTTTGACCATGTGTTACACCCGTGGGTGACACGAGCCCTGGGCTAACCCCAGCACCATTGTCTGCCCTGCACAGTAACCACCACCAAAGTAGCCAGGCCTGTCGGCGCCCAACCCAGCTCAGGTGACCCGGCGGGCGCCTAGCACACCTGGCACTGTCTCCTGACCCCGCCCCGGGCCGGCCGCACCCCAGGACGCTCTCTCCGGGAGCCATCGGTGTCCTTGGCCGTGGCGGTGCAGACCATGGCGGCGGCGCCCACGGTGTGCGCTTTGCAGGGGCCCCCGTCGGGTGTCCAGTCGGCCCCAGCAGCCGCAGCCGCGCCCGCAGCCGGCCTGGGTCGCTGCCGGATGGCGCTGCTGCTGGCTGTGGCGCTGGACGTGGCGGGCATGGCGGCTCTGCTGACCGGTGTGTTTGCACAGCTGCAGGTGCGCGGCCGCGACTTTGGCGACCTGCTCATCTACTCTGGCGCGCTGCTAGTCTTTCTGAGCCTGCTCGGCTGGATCCTCTGGTACACCGGCAACATCGAGATCTCGCGCCAGGAACTCGAGCGCGACTACGGTCTGCGGCCTTCGGCGCTAGCCCGCCTAGCACGCAAGCTTTCCCGCCGCTGGTCGGCGCCTGCCGCCACTGGACTGCGCCCCGGGCCGGCCTCCCGGGGAGCGCGCCGAGGCGTCCGCGCGCCCCCGCCGCCCACCGCCGGCTCCCGCCGCGTGCGCCTGCAGCTCGCCACGCTTGAAGCCGGACCCGGGGCGGCGGGAGCTGGCAGCGAGTGAGCCCCAGGTGAGGGCCAGGCGGGGACCGTGGGGGCAACAAGTAGAGCTGGAGAGACACAGGGAGAGACAGAAATGGAGAGAGACGTGGAGAGAGGATGAGAGGTGGAGACATGGAATGGGTGGAGACGGAACTGGAAAAGTCCGACAGAGGGTAGCAGAGACAGCGGGCACAGGTGCACACTTGGGGTAGACCCTGAGACCCTGCCCCTGGAGATGAGGAACAGCACCCCCGCCCCTGCACTTGGACATACCACCCTCTGGCTCCAGGTGCACCAGGACCGGTTCCGTCCTCTCGGTGTTACCGGGTCTTTGAGGTCACTGTTGTGGATGGTAGTCATCCCTATTCAGCAGGGAAGAAACTGAAGCCCAGAAAGGTGCCACCTTTGCCTAAGGCCACACAGCACGTAGGTGGAGGACCTGGTATTCTCTTTACAAGTAGCCGTGTGAAAGGAGGAAAGAGTAAGAGGGACCAACTTAGGCAGGAGAGCTAACTAACAAAACCTCTCCTTCACTCTCCTTTCCTTTTCCTCTACCTTCTGTCCCCTTTCCTAAACACACTTCTCCAGCTTGCCTGCCTTTGCTCGGCGACCTGCTGTGGCTCCCTCTTGCACTTTGGTTAAACTGAAGTACTCACTGGTATGTGGCCCACTCCATTTCGGCCCCACTTCTTCTGCTCTCTCTATAGTCATGACAGCCCTCAGTCTACAGACAGCCTTCTCTACACCAGGCATACCCTTGCTGTCCACATTCTACTCAGCAAACTTATGTGTTCTTTTTTTTTTTTTTTTTTTTTAGAGACAGAGTCTCACTTTGTCCCCCTTGGTACAGTACCATGGTGTTACAGCTCACAGCAACCTCCTGCTCTTGGGCTTAGGTGATTCTCTTGCCTCAGCCTCCCAAGTAGCTGGGACTACAGGCGCCAGCGATAATGTCTGGCTATTTTGTTGTTGTTGCAGTCTGGTCGGGACCGGGTTTGAACCTGCCACCCTCAGTATATGGGGCTGGCTTCCTACTCACTAAGCCACAGGCTCTGCCCAAACTTATGTGTTCTTTAAGATTCAAATCAATTGAGGCAGCACCTGTGGCTCAAAGGAGTAGGGCACCAGCTCCATATACTGGAGGTGGCGGGTTCAAACCCAGCCTCAGCCAAAAACTGCAAAAAAAAAAAAGATTCAACTCAATTTTTCTTAGCCCAGTGCAGTGGCTCACATCTGTTACCCTAGCATTCTGGCAGGCTGAAACAGGTGGGTTACCAGAGCTCAGGAGTTCCAGACCAGCCTGTGCAAGAGTGAGATCCCTTCTCTACTAAAAATAGAAAAACTAAGGCAAAGCCCAAGAGTTTGAGGTTTCTGTGAGCTAAGCTGACACTACTCCCTCTAGCCTGGGTGACAGAGCAAGACTCTGTCTTTAAAAAGGAAGGAAAGGGGCTCGGCGCCTGTGGCTCAAGCGGCTAAGGCGCCAGCCACATACACCTAAGGTGGCGGGTTCGAATCCCCCCAGGGGGATAGCTTGAGGCTCCGTCTCAAAAAAAAAA